CAATACTGTCTACTGTGACTGGCGATGGCTCTTGGGGGTGTCAGGCAGAGAAATCCACTCTGTCAATGAGCCGCACCTCCTCCCTGTAATACCGGCCTCATTTCTACCACCTCCATCAATGTGTGTGCGCTTGAGTTCCCAACCCAGGGAGCTCTCAGTCTTATGTTCCCGTGGTGGTGGAAAGTGACCTCAGGTCACAGCCAACTTAGGGTGACCCCGTAGGGTTTTCAAGGCAAGAGAAGGACAGAGGTGGTTGGCCATGGCCTGCCTCTGCATAGCAACCCAGGAATTCCTTGGTGGTCTCCCATCCAAGTACAAACCAGAACCGACCCCGCTTAGCTGCAGCTGTTGCTTCTCCTCCTCCTTCCAACAGATGGTTTTGACAGTCTTTATCACCCATGTGATAAACTTTGCCATTTGTAACATTACCCATTAACTTTTACCAGCAAGCAACATTTGTAAGTCTATGCTGGTCCGATCTCCCTGAGTACTGACACAGGGCTATTTTTGGGGAGGAACGCACAGGAACGGAGTTCCAGCTGGCTCCCAAGTTGGCCACACCCAGCAGGAGCCTCATTAGCATAATAGGCCACACCCAGCAGCAGGAACTCATTAGGATTGGCTACATTAGGGGTGTGTGGCCTAACATGCAAAGGAGTTCCTGCTACAAAAAAAAGGCCCTGGGTTTTGACAACAAACAGGGTAAACAGAATAAGAAGCAAAAGGTAGGTGTGGCTGGATGAGCACACTTCTGGTAACATGGGGGTGCGGCCTAATATGCCAATGATTTGTGCTGTCAGGGGTGTGGCCTAATATGCCAATGAGTTCCTGCTGTTGGGTGTGGCCTATTATGCTAATGAGTTCCTGCTGGACTTTTTCTCCAAAAAAAGCCCTGGATCCACATAACCGGAGGGGAAACAGCTTTGCTCCTTTGGGCTTGGGATTTCAGGCCAGCCCATTCCAGCAGCATTCAATTCACCCAGAATTTGTGTGCATGGGGGTGGTGGGGGAAAACCAGCTAGAAACTGCCTTTCATTCACTGTCATTCCGCTGTTGATGTCTAACCGTTTCCCTGCTTCGGATAGGACCACGTGGCCTGCTGTAGTAGGGAATTGCACGTTTCCTAAAGGGCACAGGCCTTTTGATGAAAAATTCATGTCCTGGCGCGAGCTATTCAGAGGAACTGATCGATCGGCGGCTCCAGATTTTTTTTAACAACTGTTAGGAAGGGAGCTGGGCCAGGGAAGCTGCAAGAGAGAAGCAGAGTGCGAATGGGTTATTCTGGAGGCCCTACAATGCCCAAAAGATTCTTGTGTGTTGTGGTTCCCCCCCCCCACACACACAGATGGCGGAAAGTCACCGTGCCCAAGGGCAGTGGCCAACCAGTTCCTCTGGAGGGCCAACAACAGGGCATAGAGGTCGAGGCCTTCATTAGAACATCAGAAGAGCCCTGCTGGATCAGACCAGTGGGCCATCTAGTCCAGCATCCCGTCTCACACAGTGGCCAACCAGTTCCTCTGGAGGGCCAGCAATAGGGCAGAGAGGCCGAGGCCTTCATAAGAAAATCAGGAGAGCCCTGCTGGATCAGATTAATAGTCCATCTAGTCCAGCATCCTGTCTCACACAGTGACCAACCAGTTCCTCTGGAGGGCCAACAACAGGGCATAGAGGTCGAGGCCTTCATTAGAACATCAGAAGAGCCCTGCTGGATCAGACCAGTGAGGGTCCATCTAGTCCAGCATCCCGTCTCACACAGGGGCCAACCAGTTCCTCTGGAGGGCCAGCAATAGGGCAGAGAGGCCGAGGCCTTCATTAGAACATCAGAAGAGTCCTGTTGGATCAGACCAGTGGTCCATCTAGTACAGCATCGTGTCCCACACAGTGGCCAACCAGTTCCTCTGGAGGGTCAACAACAGGAGAGGCTTAGAGGCCAAGGCCTTCCTCTGATGTTGTGACATCTCCCGTCTTTTCCTCACCCTGCCGGAGCTACTTTACCTTTAATAGATTTTTAAATATATATATACAGGTCTTTTTTTGTAGAAAAAGCCCAGCAGAAACTCATTAGCATAATAGGCCATACCCAACAGCAGTAACTCATTAGCATATTAGGCCACACCCCTGACAGCACAGAGCCCCCTCTCGCCCCTTCCTGGCCCACTCACCAAGGCAGGTGAGCCGGGAAGGGAGCGGGGAGGACATTTAAAAGCCTCCTTGTTGCTTCTCCTGCCTGCCCGGCAAAGCGGGTGAGCAGGAGAAGGCTCCCAGAGCCTCCTCCTGCCCCTTCCTGCCCGACGAGCCAGGAAGGGCTCAGGAGGGAGCGGGGAGGCATTTCAACCCCCCCCCTGTTGCTTCTCCTGCCCGTCCACCAAAGCAGGCAAGCAGGACCCCACACTCACCCAGGCCATCTTTCTAGAGTGTGTTGCGTTCATTTCCGCAACGGGCCTTTCTCCTAGTGTGTGTGTGTGTGTGTATATATACATATACATATATATATACACACACACACACACACACACACACACACACACACACGGTATATTTAATGACTAAATATATATATCAGCAGCTTTTGCTCTTCCGTCACTGTGCTCTGGGACAAAAGATCCCAATTGCTTACAGAGAGAAAAAAATCCTCTGTTGTGGCAACCGCAGCTACCAAGGTGAGCTGCCAACGGAATTGTAAGCGGGCATTGTCTGCCAACCCCCAGCCTGCCCTGCCCACGGGAGGGCTCCGTCTTCCCTGCCCATGTCGCAGTCTACCTTCGTAAGTCTCCAGTCTAGCTGACTTTCCTCGCCACCCGCACTCCTCTGCCTCGAGGGGAGGGGGCAGGTGGGCGGGCGGGGTGCATACCAGAGTCTTTTTCCGGAGCCTCACCTTTGAATCGCCACCTAGTCTCTTGAGAGAGAGAGGGAGGACAGGTGGGGTGGTCTGTTTGCTTTGCGGCTCTGGTGCTCGCAACGTCCTCTGGAGGCTGCCGTTTGAAGTGACAGGCACTTCGCAACCACCAGACCTTGTTAATCCGGTCTCCACCCTTCTGGGGGAGGAGTACCGTCACATCTGGACTCACAGTGTGGGGGGTCCTTCCACACACACACCCCCGAACGGCGTAGCACATTCCTCCGAAATTCCAGATGACTTTGTACTACCGGCCTTTCTCCTCCACCGTGAGTAGACGAGGCTTCAAGGGCAGGGAGGGGTGACTGTCTTTCAGGCCTCGGGTTTTTAGGGGCATTTGAGGTTTCCCACGACTCCCGTTGGATAAATCATTTAACCGGGAAAGCCTTTCTGGACCAGGCGGTTTCCCGGCTGCTTTTGCGCCCATTCAAATTCACATCAGATCTGAGTTAGAACATTTCCCACATCCCCAAGCGGGGAGATTTCCAGTGGCTGGTCTGATGGGATCTGATTGTTGTTGTTTTTGCAAAACCTGATGGGTAGCCATGTTAGCCTGTCTGTAGCAGTAGAAAAGAGCAAGAGTCCAGGAGCACCTTAAAGGTAAAGGTTCCCTTGCTCGAAAGCCAGTCGAACCTGACTCTAGGGTTGCGGTGCTCATCTCCGTTTCCAAGCCGAAGAGCCAGCGCTGTCTGAAGACGTCTCCGTGGTCATGTCTGGCCAACGTACGCTTATGAACAAAGTGCTGCTTTGGAAATATTGTGCTGAACAAACCAGAGGATGACAGTGATTCCCAATTAACGTACCTTGTCTGAGCGGCTTCAAAATGACATTGATAGGGGTCAGGCAAAAGAGGATTATTCCGTGTCGTGCAAATGCTTTTATACAAAGATTATCGTCTCTGGCAGAGGACATTTTTTTAAAAAATGACCGCTGCTCATTTGCATGGGAGATCCGTGCAAGACGGGCAGAACTGATAATAGAAAAGATTGGAGATCTCCAGGCAGGCACCACCTGGAAGTTGGCCACTGCGCGACGCCAGATCTGCCAGCGGCCTTACGCCGCTTCATGCCTTTGCCTCCTTGCATCTTAGGTTGCGGTCACACGCGCCAGGAAAAAAACGGGGAGGGGGGGAGTGAGGCTATTTCCTCTGGAGGAACGTGACCCGCAGTTGCATGATCACACAGTCCTTGGAAGCTGCGGGCCCAGCCCGCCACTGCATGATCAGACGCAACCTCGGGTGAGTCGAGGGGGGGTGTTGCCGTTTGTTTCCGATGCGCTTAGACGAGGAATCGATGAATTGCATCTCCGCACTGAGGGCTCCCTATGGAGTTTGTGATGATGCGCATACTGAGGGGGGGGGACAATGGCACGGAGTCGGGATGGCTCATTCACAACAACCTGCCCGTTGCCATTTGAAGATCACAGCAGTTACATTCTGCTCACGATGTGAACTGCTCCATTCAGTAAAGGTAAAGGTTCCCTTGCTCGAAAGCCAGTCGAATCCGACTTTAGGGTTGTGGTACTCATCTCCGTTTCCAAGCCGAAGAGCCAGCACTGTCCGAAGACGTTTCCGTGGTCGGCATGACTAAACACCAAGGCGTACGGAACGCTGTTACCTTCCCACCGAAGTGGTACCTATTTATCTACTTGCAATGTCTTGCTTTCGAACTGCTAGGCTGGCAGGAGCTGGAACTAGAGACGGGAGCTCACTCCATCATGCGGCACACTCGGGTCTTGAACTGCTGAACTACCGACCTTCCACAGCCTGCAGTTCAGCGTCTTAACCACTTGAGCCACTGCAGCTCCTACTCCACTCAGTAGGGGAGAAGAATTAGAGGGAACATTGGCTCGCATCACCCATCTGCATGTCTTAGGCCTGATTCATTCAGCTCTCCCCCCCCCCCCCGGGGATACCACCACACTGGCTTTCATCCTTCTTTGCTACGTACCCTTCTGTAGTTCCCGGGCATCACTGTGTCAGGGCCCAAGGAGTGTACTCACTGTGGATCTCGAGAACCCTCCGAATGACTAAATGAGAATCCATGGAGTGCTCTCTCACTGCTTGTGCATGCTCTATGGTGACCGGCTTCCTTCTCTCTCCTAGCTGCAGAAAGACGAGAATGGCTTCCCTTCCCATGACGCCGTGGCGGGGGTTTTGCCGGACAAGCAGATCTACACCAGGTGGGTCCAACCTCGGAAGGATCCGCCATTCCTGTGGCACCCAAATTTTCTGGGCCCTTTCCGAGGACAGTGTAGGGTTGCCAGCTCCAAGTGGAGAAATAGATGGAGATTTGGGGGGTGGAGCCTGGGGAGGGCGGGGCTCAAGGAGGGGAGGGATCTCAGGGGGGCGCAGGGCCACGGAGTCCACCCTTCAATGCAGCCATTTTCTCCAGGGGAGCTGATGGCTGCCATCTGGAGATCAATGCTAAGAGCAGGAGATCTCCAGGCACCATCTGGAGGTCGGCAACTGTATCCTCCACCATCCTGAAGTTGTATTATTATTGTTATTATTGTTGCTGTTGTTGTTGTTATTATTATTGTGAGTATTGTTGTTGTTGTTGTTATTGTTATTGTTGTTGTTGTTGTTGTTATTATTATTATTGGAATTTATAAACCACCCTCCCCCAGAGAGCTCAGGCAGTGTAAAGGTAAAGGTTTCCCTTGCTTGAAAGCCAGTCGAATCCGACTCTAGGGTTGCGGTGCTCATCCCCATTTCAAAGCCGAAGAGCCAGCGCTGTCCGAAGACATTTCCGTGGTCATATGGCCGGCATGACTAAACACCAAGGCGCACGGAACGCTGTGTACAACATTATTCCCCACCACAGAGAACAATGGAGGGGATGGGGGCAACCTGTTTGGGGGCCCGTAGAATTGGATCCCCCCGGCCCAATGTTCTTGAAACTTGGTTGGTATCTTGGAGAGAGGCTTCAGCAGCTAACCTGCGAGTTTGGAGCCTCTCCCTCAAACCCCCTTCTCTCCAGCCCCCAGAATATACCCTATGTTTTTGCCATTGACTTCTACGGCCCATAGGATATAATGGGGCTGAAACTGACATTTGGCTGGCTGAAAGACTCCTGAATCCGAAATTGACATGCAGGAGTCATAAGAACATAAGAACATAAGAGACGCCAATGTTGGATCAGGCCAAAGGCCCATCCAGTCCAACACTCTGTGTCACACAGTGGCCAGAAATACCAGGGGCCATCAGGAGGTCCACCAGTGGGGCCAGGACATTAGAAGCCCTCCCACTGTGGCCCCCTCCCAAGCACCAAGAAGACAGAGCATCACTTGCTCCAGAGCCCCTATCTATACCTTGTGGCTAATAGCCACTGATGGACCTCTGCTCCATATGCTTATCTATGAGAACATATAAGAGTCTTTATGCCGGCCGAAATTAATTCTGCCCAATTCGGCCGAATCCGAATCGGGCCGAATTTATTTATTTTTTTTGCACACCCCTAGTCCTGGTTAGAGAGGAAGGGGGCTAGCCGCCTGACCTGGCAGAGATGGGAAAATGCCAGCTTAGCAATATTTGCTACCTGGGCATCCACAGACAGAGAGAGGGGTCTGGGCTCTTGAAGATCAGTGCCAGCTTCAACTTCTTGCAATCCTGAGTTGGGCGATTTCAGCTTGAATAACTCCTTAATATGACTCAGCCACCTTTCCTGACCTTCATTGTAAGAAACTATTACGGTTGTCCGCACAGCATGATTCCCCCCCCCCCTCACTCTTCTAAAGCCTGTTTGTTAGGACTGAGCTGAAAATGGGGGGGGGGGGTGAGTCTGTGACCCAAAAACATTCATCCATTGCGAAATACTCTGATTCCTGCAAAGATTTGGGGAGGAAGCTTGAGAATTGGGATGAAAACATTCCCCAAAGGGATAATAGCAGGAAGCGTCATTTTTATACTAATGTACTGTTCTGTGTTTTCTAGGCCTGTCCTCCAGGAGGTCCCGGATGTGGTGAGAAATTTGCTTTTTTAAAAAAATAAGTAAATTGAAGGAGGAGGGTTATAGTACAAATGCCAGGGATGGGGTACAGTGAGGCAAGGCATGTCGATGTGGTGCTGCTGGTCAATAAAGTGTAGTGTTTTGTATCGCATAGACTTTATATACCCATTCTTCTTGAAGACTGCTTTCATGAAACCACTCTTAAGGTGGCCAAATTTTGTGTGTTGGCTCAGTTAATAAAGAAGCAGACCCTTCAGTCTTTTTAATGAACTGCTTTATGGCTGCGGTCACACACACACTAAATAACCCACTTTCCATCCACTTTCATTGCACTTTCCAACTGGATTCCAAGAGTTCACACAGTAAAATCCATTTGGAGTGCACTGAAAGTGGATTGAAAGTGAGTTATTTTTGTGTGTGTGACCGCAGTCTATATCACTTAAATTGCCCTGAGCTGGACAGCCTAGGCTAGGCCGATCTGGTCAGATCTTGGAAGCTAAGCAGGGTCGACCTTGGCTAGTGTTTGGATGCACGACCTCCAAGGAATACCAGGGCTGTGATGCAAAGGCAGCCAATGACAAATCACCTCTGAAATGTCTCATGCCTTCAAAATACCACTAAAAGGTAAAGGTAAAGGTTCCCTTGCTCGAAAGCCAGTCGAGTCCGACTCTAGGGTTGCGGTGCTCATCTCCGTTTCAAAGCTGAAGAGCCAGCACTGTCCGAAGACGTTTCCGTGGTCATGTGGCCGGCAAGACTAAACACCAAGGCGCACGGAACGCTGTTACCTTCCTACCAAAGTGGTACCTATTTATCTACTTGCAATGTCTTGCTTTTGAACTGCTAGGCTGGCAGGAGCTGGGGCCAGAGACGGGAGCTCACTCCATCATGCGGCACACTCGGGTCTCGAAGTGCTGAACTACCGACCTTCCACAGCCTCCAGTTCAGCGTCTTAACCACTTGAGCCACCGCAGCTCCCAAAATACCACTAGGGGTCGCCATAAGTCAGATGTGACTTGATGGCAAAAAAAACAACAACCCAACTTAAATTAGTGTTTAATGAAGTTAAGGATTCTATATGTTTTTATATGTTTTAGATGTAGCATGATGTCTTCAGCTTGGGCCAACATGTTGGTGTTGGCTGATCTTGGATCATAATAAATGAAAAGGCGTGTTCTTGGGTGTGAGAAAACCCCGATCCAAGTGTTGGATAGTCTTGGCCTTCCACTGCCCTCTCTCTCAGCCTTATTAACCTCAGAGCATCTGACCAAGTCACGGTTCTTAGACCAAGATCTAGCAGCTTTATCGTCCGTCCCCCCTCCTTTCGGAGTAAACACAAACCCTCACGTCAAAATAACATCAGGTGCAATATTCCTTGCAAAATATCCAGAAAGCGAGATCTTTTTCCCGAGCAGGGATGAGAAACCGTAGAGTCCACCCTCTGAAGTGGTCGTTTTTCTCCAGGCGAACTGATCTTTGGAGTTTAGTTGTAATTTTGGGAGAACTCCAGTCCCCGCCTGGAGGTTGGGCACCCTAGCTGCTGTGATGCTCGTAGATCTGTTCGGACTCGTATCACCTGAGTTGCATTTCACGGATTCTTATACGGAGACCGGTTTCCCACAAGCCGCTGCTCTGCCCTCGCTCTTCCCTTCCTCCCCTGACTGTATTCATCAATTTCCCACTATTTGCTGCACGGCTGCATTTCGACCCGCAGCTTCACCCGATTTTCCCCGCATCTTCTCGGTCCTGTATTTTTGTGGATCCAGAAGACGCAGGCGAAATCAGGTGAAGCTGCGGGTCAAAGTGCGGCTGCGCAGCAAATCGTGGGAGATTGACGAATACAGTCGGGGGAAAAGGGAAGAGCGAGGGCGGAGCAGCGGCTTGTGGGAAATCGGTCGGAATTTTTGTTTTTGTAATTTTGCGCCTCTGTGTGTGTGTGTGCGCGCGCACCCATGCCTGGAAGTCATGGCAACCTCTGGTGACTTCTACTGGGGCATGGAGGATATTCAGAGAAGTGGCTGGATAGCCTGCCTCTGCCTCCCAGCCCTGGTATTCTTTGGAGGTCTCCCATCGAAATACCCGCCGGGGTCGGCCCTGCTTAGCTTCCGAGATCTGACGAGATCGGGATTGCCTGGGCTATCCAGGTCAGATGGAATGGCTTAGATAGTTCCTAGCGAATGTGTGTGTGTGTGTCCATCCAACTTAAGGAGCGTATATTAAGAACAGGGGTCCTCAACACTGTGCCCGTGGGCACCACGGCACCCGCTGACAGCTTTTCCTGGCGGCTGCTGAATGTTTTTAGAAGAAGAGAGAAGAAGAGATTGGATTTATACCCCACTCTTCACTACTCGAAGGAGTCTTTCAATCTCCTTTCCCTTCCCCACAACAGACACCCTGTGAGGCAGGTGGGGCTGAGAGAGCTCTTTCGAGAACTGCTTATGAGGGAACAGCTCTGAGAGAACTTGTGACTGACCCAAGGTCACACCAGCAGCTGCATGTGGAGGGGTGGGGAATCAAACCCGGTTCTCCCAGATTAGAGTCCGCGCTCCTAACCACTACACCGAACTGGCTCTTAGAAAGAACTTGTGATTGACCCAAGGTCACACCAGCAGCTGCATGTGGAGGTGTGGGAATCAAACCCGGTTCTCCCAGATTAGAGTCCGCACTCCTAACCATCACACCAAACTGGCTCTTAGAAAGAAATTGTGACTGACCCAAGGTCACACCAGCAGCTGCACGTGGAGGGGTGGGGAATCAAACCCGGTTCTCCCAGATTAGAGTCCACGCTCCTAACCACCACACCCAAGTGGCTGTGGAAAAGGATGAGGCCACTAGAGCTTCTGATTGGCCACTGGCGATCTGAAAGATACTGCCAGAGGAGTGTTTTTTTCTAGCCAGCTCAATATGTACACTTAGGATTACGCACGGGAATATTTTTAACCGTATTTTCGCTTTTGAAAGTGTGCCGTTGAACAGAGCTTCCGTCTGAAATGCTATAGAGGTGCAGAGTCTTGCGCCCTGCACAGGGGTCTTGTTGTAGAAAAAGAGCTGCCGGAGCTCATTAGCATAACTCATTAGCATAACTTATTTGCATATGCCACGCCCCCTGACATCACCGGAAGTGACAGAAGGCCACACACCCTGACATCACCGGAAGTGTGTCAGAAGGCCCGGCTACTTACCCTCCTGCTTCATCCTCATTCCCAAACGGAATGAGAATCGAAGCAGAGGGCGGGGTAAAGAAGGGGGCGGGGCTTCACCACGTGACCGCCCCGCCCCCTAGAGGTTCTCTTCCGGAGCTCCGTACCTGAGAGCTCCCCCCCGACTAGAGCCCTGGCCCTGCATATTGGGGTCAGCGCCAGTGTTCCCTCTAAGCTGAGTTACTGTGAGCCAGCTCACATTTTTTAGCCCCCGGCTCACACATTTCTGTCTTCGCTCAGGAAGGAGGGCTCCAGAGCAAACTCATTTATGCAGTAGCCAAATCGCTGGCTCACAACTTTTAATGCCAGTAGCTCACAAAGTAGAATTTTTGCTCACAAGACTCCAGAGCTTAGAGGGAGCATTGGTCAGCGCCACCTCCCGCAGCAGCCATTTTGTGATTGCCCGGTGTCAGATTCCCAAAGGTGCCCAGAAACTCAAAAAGACTGGAGACCCCTGGATGGGAATAACTTTGCATGCTTCTGGAAACAGGCTGGAGAAAGTGCAGAGATAGGGAAATGCACAGAAAAATGGGTTTTGTATTTGAAGCCAAATGCTGCCCTCTGTAGGACGTTTGCAGAAATGTCCTGTGTACCTGATATGTGTGAACTGATATTTTTCGCTCCCACCCCTGTGTATTTGTCTCTTCTGAATTAGTAGAGGTTCAGAGAATTGCCAGTGTTCACAGGTGAGAGGAGATTCTGCAAAGATGGGAAGGATTCAGTTTGTTCACAAAGGGAGTCAGTGACCGCAAACCTGTTCTTGCAATATGTGTTCAAATTCACAGCAATTTTTGGAAATGAATCCGTGGTTTGATATAAGAAGGGTACAAGTGGCTGAGCATGCCAAAACCAGAAAGGTATTCTGAATAAAACAGCAGCAAGTACTGGGGAGATTATAGAACTGTTTGTCATTAGAACATCAGAAGACCCCTGCTGGATCAGACCAGTGGTCCATCTAGTCCAGCATCCTGTCTCACACAGGGGCCAACCAGTTCCTCTGGAGGGCCAACAACAGGGCATAGAGGCCGAGGCCCTCATAAGAACATCAGAAGAGCCCTGCTGGATCAGACCAGTGGTCCATCTAGCCCAGCATCCTGTCTCACACAGGGGCCAACCAGTTCCTCTGGAGGGCCAACAACAGGGCATAGAGGCCGAGGCCCTCATAAGAACATCAGAAGACCCCTGCTGGATCAGACCAGTGGTCCATCTAGCCCAGCATCCTGTCTCACACAGGGGCCAACCAGTTCCTCTGGAGGGCCAACAACAGGGCATAGAGGCCGAGGCCCTCATAAGAACATCAGAAGACCACTGCTGGATCAGACCAGTGAGGGTCCATCTAGTCCAGCATCCTGTCTCACACAGGGGCCAACCAGTTCCTCTGGAGGGCCAAAAACGGCATAGAGGCCAAGGCCTTCATAAGAACATCAGAAGAGCCCTGCTGGATCAGACCAGTGGTCCATCTAGTCCAGCATCCTCTCTCACACAGTGGGCAACTAGTTCCTCTGGAGGGCCAACAACAGGGCACAGAGTCCGAGGCCTTCATAAGAACATCAGAAGAGCCCTGCTGGATCAGACCAGTGGTCCATCTAGTCCAACATCCTGTCTCGCACAGGGGCCAACCAGTTCTTCTGGAGGGCCAACAACAGGGCATAGAGGCCGAGGCCTTCATAAGAACATCAGAGGAGCGCTGCTGGATCAGACCAGTGAGGGTCCATCTAGTCCAGCATCCTGTCTCACACAGGGGCCAACCAGTTCCTCTGGAGGGCCAACAACAGGGCATAAAGGCCAAGGCCTTCATAAGAACATCAGAAGAGCCCTGCTGGATCAGACCAGGGGTTCATCTAGTCCAGCATCCTGTCTCACACAGGGGCCAACCAGTTCCTCTGGAGGGCCAACAACAGGGCAGAGAGGTTAAGGCCTTCATAAGAACATCTGAAGAGCCCTGCTGGATCGGACCAGGGGTCCCTCTAGTCCAGCATCCTGTCTCACACAGAGGCCAGCCAGTTCCTCTGGAGGGCCAATAACAGGGCACAGAGGCCGAGGCCTTCATAAGAACATCAGAAGAGCCCTGCTGGATCAGACCAGTGGTCCATCTCGTCCAGCTTCCTGCTTCACACAGCGGCCAACCAGTTCCTCTGGAGGGCCAACAACAGGGCAGGCTCCCCATGGGACTTTATAGTCTGTACATCAGTTGTACTCTAATATTGCTTGTCCTAGAAGTGGGGTTGTCAGCTCTGAATTAGGAAATTCCTGGAGGTTTTGGGTTGAGCCCGGGGAGGGTGGGCTTTGGGGAGGGGTCCTCAGTGGGTCGTAGAGTCCACCCTGCAAAGCAGCCACTTCTTCCAGGGGACCTGGTCTCTGTAGTCTTACAGAAACGTGCCTCATGAAAACTTGCTCGGTATCCTGCACTTTGGGCCACTGTGTGACAGAGCGTTGGACTGGATGGGCCATCGGCATCTCTTATATTCTTACGTTCTTATGTTCTCTCTGCTTTTGCAGTAAACTGTAGACAAGGGATTATCTGGAGCTGGAGGCATGATGCCACCCTGGTCAACGAGTGCAGAAATCCCTCACCTCCAATGTTCCCTCTAAGCTGTAGAGTCTTGTGAGCAAAAATTCTATCTTGTGAGTGACTGGCCTTAAAGCTGTGAGCGAGCGATCTGGCTACTGCATAACTTAGTTTGCTCTGGAGCCCTCCTTCCTGAGCGAAGACAAAAATGTGTGAGCCGGAGGCTAAAAAACTGGGAGCTAGCTCACACTAACGCAACTTAGAGGGAACACTGCTCCCCCTCCCCTGCTGCGTTCCTAAATTCCAGGCCGGCATCTGCTCGGTCATAAACAAACATGCCAAGCTAATCTCCCGGCACTCGTGCTGAGGGCAAGGCCAGGGTCTCTGAGATCAGCCGTTTGGCACCGAGAAAAGCTCCCTCACGGCCATCCCTCCCCCAAGGCCCCTGAGTCAAGCTGCAGCAGCAACGACTGAGAAGCCGGGAGGTTCCCCTACCACCACCACCACCACTGGGCCTGCTTTCTGCTCCCTGCTTCTTTTTCTAGCCTTTCCACCTTCTGCAATCAGGCAGGCCTGTGTTGTCTTTTGCCGGCTAGGGATTAAGCTCAGAGCCAAGGGGTCTGTCGTGGGCCTAGGGTGGATGATCTAAGTCGATGGACACGGTCTCTATATCACCGAAAAATGGGGGGGGGGAACTGTGACAATATAACGCTAAACGGGGGACTGTGACAATATAACGCTAAACAATATTTCATTGAAAAACCATCATAATTATACAATGTAGAAAAAGTGAACAGTTATTGACAATAAGTGTAGACGGTGGTCTCTGGAATGTCCTGCTGTTTCGACAATAACCTTCTTCTGAGCAAAGATGAATAACAACCTCCTGTCTCACACAGAGGCCAACCAGTTCCTCTCGAGGGCCAACAACAGGGCAGAGAGGCCGAGGCCTTCATAAGAACATCATAAGAGCCCTGCTGGATCAGACCAGTGGTCCATCTAGTCCAGCATCCTGTCTCACACGGTGGCCGACCAGTTCCTCTGGAGGGACAACAACAGGGCAGAGAGGCCAAGGCCTTCATAAGAACATTGGAAGTGCCCTGCTGGGTCAGACCAGCGGTCCATCTAGCCCAGCCTCCTGTCTCACACAGAGGCCAACCAGTTCCTCTGGAGGGCCAACAACAGGGCAAAGAGGCTGCGGCCTTCCCCTGATGTTGCCTTCTGGCTGTTATTGCCTCTGAATATGGAGATTCCCCACAGTTACCATGGCTAGTAGCCACTGATAGGACCTCCTCCATAATCCCCTTTGAAAGCTGTTTATTCCTGTGGCCCTCGCTACATCCTCTGGCGGCGAATTCCACATTTTAATTCCTCTCTATTTAAAGTAGTATTTCCTTTTGTCTGTCCTAAACCTCCTGCCCATCAGCTTCATTCGATGCCTTTGAGTTCTAGTATTCGGGGAGAGGGAGGAAAAAGTTCTCTTTGTCGGCTCTCTCCACCCTATCCCTAATTTTATCAACCCCTCTCATGTCCCTCCTCAGTCGTCTGCCTTCTCAACTGGAAAGTCCCAAACGCTTCGGCCTTTCCTCCCAGGGAAGGTGCTCCCGCCCCCTGACTATCTCACTCGCTCTCCTCTGTACTTTGTACTCTGAACGAATATCGCTCTGCCTAGAAGAATGAGACCTTCTGGCCTGGGGATGTTTTTGCAGTAAACAGCAGGCAGGGGGTTTGGGGAGCCTGACGCAGCTGCCCGGGGGTGGGCAGCCATCACTACGGAGCAACCCTCCCCCCCATGAGTCCTAGGCCGACCCCGCCCTGGTGATAAACAGACATGCCCCTCTTATCTGCTGACATTCTCCTGAAGGCCGTGGCGAGGCCAGGAACTGTGAGGTCAGCGGTTTGGCAGGCAGGCAGCTCCCTCACGGCCGTCCCTCTCCAAGGCCCCCTGACTGACGCTGGGGCAGAATCTGCTGAAAGAACGGAGTCCCCCTCTCCAAGCCCGCATCATCCTCCGGGGAGGCCCCTTCCCGTTACCCCCTAGCCTTTATCGGTGATCTCTTTTGCAATTAAGGTAAAGGTTCCTTTGCTCAAAAGCCAGTCGAGTCCGACTCTAGGGTTGCGGTGCTCATCTCCGTTTCCGAGCCGGAGAGCCAGCGCTGTCCGAAGACGTTTCTGTGGTCATGTGGCCGGCATGACTAAACAGCAAGGCGCACGGAACGCCGTTACCTTCCCACCGAAGTGGTACTTATTTATCTACTTGCAATTTCTTGCTTTCGAACTGCTAGGTTGGCAGGAGCTGGAACTAGAGACGGGCGCTCACTCCGTCATGCGGCACACTTGGGTCTCGAAGTGCTGAACTACCGACCTTCCACAGCCTGCAGTTCAGCGTCTGAACCACTTGAGCCACCGCAGCGCCTCCTTTTGCAATTAGGCAGGTGTTTTGTGGTGCTTACGCTGGCCAGGAATCAGGGTTGCTGGATCCGGGCTGGGAAACTCTGGGATATTTGGGGATGGAGCCTTGGGGGGGGGGAGAAGGGAGGACGGGGACCTCAGTGGGGTTGCCAACACATCCAGGTGTGGCCTGGAGATCTCCTGAGATCACATCTGATCTCCAGACGACAGAGATCAGTCCCCCTGGAGAAAATGGCAGCTTTGCAGGGTGGACTCTATGGAATTATTATACCCCGCGGGAGTCCCTCCCCTTTGCAAGCCCTGCCCTCCCCTGGCTCCACCCCCAAATCTCCAGGTATTTCCCAGCCAGCAGTTGGCAACCCTGGACCTCAGTGGGGTACGATGCCCTAGAGTGGGGTACGATGCCCTCCAAAGCATCCATTTCTCTCCAGGGGAACTGATCTCCGTAGTCTGGAGACGAGCTGGAATTCCGGGGGATCCCCAGGTCTCTCCTGGAGGCCGGCATCCCTACCAGGATTGGGGCCTTGAACAGTAGGATTTGAGTAGACAATACTTATTCAATGGACAACCAATGGTCTAGGGTTGCCAACTTCCAGGTGGCACCTGGAGATCTGCTGTTACGAATAACCTCCAGAGGAGCAAGAGGAGCAAGATCAGCTCCCCGGGAGAAAATGGCTGCTTTGGAGGGTGGAGTCTGTGGCAGTATACCCTGCCCAGGCCCCTCCCCAATACCCGCCCTCCTCAGGCTCCGCCCCCCAAACAATCTCCGGGTATTTCCCAACCTGGATTTGGCAACCCTAGAAGATACGGGTTTGCCTCTTTAACACCACTGAAAATCCACAGGAATGCTCTTTCGCAAAAGTTTGCCTCACAACATAAAAAACGTACACGCATCTGTGCTCTCCAACCACCTCCCTTAAGGCCCTTTCCGCATTTGCAGACCTCCTGGTGGCCCCAGGTGATGGCAGGGGGTGTGGCCTTATGACACACTTCCGGTTGTGTCAGGGGGTGTGGCATATGCTAATGAGTTATGCTAATGAGTCCCCCTAGCTCTTTTTCTACGAAACGACCCCTGGCTCGAACACACTAGAAGCCAGCATGGTGTAGTGCCCTTTGCTTGTCCCTCCGTGTGCGTCAGTTTGACCCAAAGCCTTCTCATCACTGGAGACTTCTTTGTTGACTCCCTGACCCTTGGGTCTCTCTTCTCCCCCTCCCTGCCCGCCAGGAGACCGAGACTTTCCGCACGGCCATCCAGAGAATGGCGGACGATATCCTATCCCTGCGCCGACACGTCGCCAACTTGGAGGCGGAGAACAGCGCCCTGCGACGCAACCTGACTATGCACGAAGACGTGGGGCGCGTCTTGTTGGAGGACATCGACCTGGACGTCATGACCAGGGCGGAGATCGTCGACAGGCTACGTAAGAGGACGGCTACTCCGTTAAAGGCAGGGCGGGACATGCAAGGGGGAAAACAGAGTTACTTGTGAGAGGGCAAGCCAATTTGGTGTAGTGGTTAGGAGCCTGGACTCTAATCTGGAGGACCGGGTTTGATTCCCCATTCCTCCACATGCAGCCAGCTGGGTGACCTTGGGTCAGTCACAAGTTCTCTCAGATCTGTTCTCTCAAGGGCAGTGCTCTCAGAGCTCTCTCAGCCCCACCTACCTCACAAGGTGTCTGTTGTGGGGAGGGGAAGGGAAGGCGATTGTCAGCCACTTGTAAGCCTCCACGCTGGCTCTTAGTGGTTAAGAGCAACGACTCTGATCTGGAGAACTGGGTTTGATTCCCCACTCCTCCACATGAAGCCAGCTGGGGGGCCCTGGGTCGGTCACAAGTTCTCTCCGAACTCTCTCAGCCCACCTCTAAGTCTAGCGCGCCACCTATTGGTGCATAACACTAAAGAGTGGGAACTTCTGGCTGCTAGACAATCTTCAGATCTCCTGGCTATACTACATACACTGCAATATGATAATAACAACTACCACCACCACCACCATCTGTGAGAGGTGAAAGAAAATATATACTACTGGTTTGAACACTAGTGGTGGAGGGCTAGATAGGGATGATGGCTGGAGATCTCCTGGGTTTGCAAGTGGTCTCCAGGCGACCGAGATCAGTTCCCCTGGAGAAAATGACCACTTGGGAAGCTGGGCCCTGTGGCACGTCTATGTGGCCATGTGGCTGGCATGACTAGACACCGAGGCGTACGGAACGCTGTTCCCTTCCCACCCAAGCGGTACCTTTTATCTACATGCAGTTTCTTGCTTTCTTTTTTTTATTTTATTTTTTAATACTTGCCCAAATTGGCAGAGTTTATTAGTTTTTACACATAACACATAACAAAACAACAGAAAGAGCAATACATTTTTAGACTATCTAGACGTTATCTCGCTCACAACATCTTTAGATACATAGTTCTTTTTTCCTCCTCCTTTAACTTTATATTCCACAATAAAATATCATTAATCGAAATTCTATTCCCAATATATAGTTCATTTTTCTATATCCTACCTGCTATATTTCATTTTATCTATGCTATCCTATTTATTAATTAGTTTTATAATCATAAAAATAGAAAGGGAAAGAAACAGGTGTTTCAGCAGTTTAACAGTTCTAATTTGGGCACATATTTCTTGTATAATAACAGTTTGGTCCCTTTAAGATATTCCTTCACCTTTTTAGCTTTCAAAATCCCATATACTTGCAAACTTTGACGTAGTATTTTATATTTTTCTTAGCTTTACAGTGCCAATATGTTTTCACCTTACTCTATGTAACTCCATCTTTTCTCTCACAATAGTAAATCACAATAGGAGATCAGCCCATTACTATTCTTTGCTTTCGAACTGCTAGGTTGGCAGGAGCTGGGGCCAGTGACGGGAGCTCACTCCGTCACACGGCACTCGGGTCTCGAACTGCCGAGCTACAGACCTTTTCCGGTCTGCATTTCAGTGTCTTAACCACTGAGCCCATTTTACACATGCACAAAATTCCATTTTTAGCACAATCCCGGTTCGGCCCTTTCGATTTCCTGTCCTGATCAATTTCCACCTTGCAGCCTCATCCCTTAAAATTCAGAACTGGGGCAATTTGAGCCAGGAAGCCTCTCGAGTCCCACCAGAAAAGAATGTCCACCTTTAGGCAGAAAAATGGTGGCCTGACTTGATGAGACTGGCATTTTTGTTCCCCTAGTGGGTCTCAAGCAAAAACTGACATCCGGAGCTCGGGAGATGGCCAAGATGAAGGACCGCGTACAGCGGCTGCAGAACGAACTTATACGGGTAAGTTCTCTCGGGAGCCAGTTTGGCGTAGTGGTTAAGTACACGGACTCTAATCTGGGATAACCGGGTTTGATTCCCCACCCTTCCACATGCAGCTGCTGGATGACCTTGGGCAAGCCATAGTTCTGGCACAGCTGTTCTTGAAAAAGAGCAGTCTCTGTCAGAGCTCTCTCAATCCCACCTACCTCACAGGGTGTCTGTTGTGGAGAGGGGGAGGGAAAGGAGTTTGTAAGCCGCTCTGAGACTCTGAGTGAAGGGCGGGGTATAAATCCAATCTCTTCTTCTTCTCTCTTCCTGTGCCTTTGAAGCAGCTCTCAGAGCTCCACACATCCATCTTCAGTGGGCATCTCAGGCCCGGTTCGCCTCACCTTACTGTTTCTTCTCAGGGTCACGTACCCAAACCGTGCATACTCCTCTAATATGAAGAGGCATGCAGGTCAGATTCGAGTGGTAGCCATAATGAGAATATTGTTTCACAGGCACAAGGTTTTAAGAACGTAAGAAGAGCCCTGCTGGATCAGACTAATGGTCTATCTAGTACAGGCTCCTGTCTCACACAGTGGCCAACCAGTTCCTCTGGAGGGTCAACAACAGGGCATAGAGGCCGAGGCCTTCATAAGAACACCAGAGGAGCCCTGCTGGATCAGACTAATGGTCTATCTAGTACAGGTTCCTGTCTCACACATTGGCCAACCAGGTCCTCTGGAGGGTCAACAAACATGGCATTGAGGCTGAGGCCTTCATAAAAATAATCGAAGAGCCCTGCCGGATCAGACCAGGGGTCCATCTAGTCCAGTACCCTGTCTCACACAGTGGCCAACCAATTCCTCTGGAAGGCCAACAACAGGGCATAGAGGCCGAGGCCTTCATAAAAACATAAAAAGAGCGACGCTGTACCAGACCAGTGGTCCATCTAGGCCAGCATCCTGTCTCACCCAGTGGCCAACCAGTTCCTCTGGAGGGCCAACCACAGGGCATAGAGGCCGAGGCCTTCATAAAACATAAAAAGAGCCACGGTGGGCCAGAGCAGTGGTCCATACAGTCCAGCATCCAGTCTCACACAGGGGCCAACCAGTTCCTCTGGAGGGCCAACCACAGGGCATAGAGGCCGAGGCCTTCATAAAACATAAAAAGAGCCACGGTGGACCAGACCAGTGGTCCACCTAGTCCAGCATCCAGTCTCACACAGGGGCCAACCAGTTCCTCTGGAGGGCCAACAACAGGGCAGAGAGGCCAAGACTTTCCTAAGAACATAAGAAGAGCCCTGCTGGATCAGACCAGTGGTCCATGTAGTCCAGCATCCTGTCTCACAAAGGGGCCAACCAATTCCTCTGGAGAGCCAACAACAGGGCAGAGAGGCCGAGGTCTTCCCCTAGTGCTGCTTCCTGGCTCTGGGATTCAGAGACTTAGTGCCCCTCAGCCACCATGGATAGCAGTCATTGATAGACGGTGATGGTAAGCCACTCCAAGACTCCTTCGGTTAGGAAAGGACGGTATATAAAACCAACTCTTCTTCTTCTTTGGAGAGCGACTGCCAATCAGCTTCCTTCCAAACATGGTGGCAGCTCGGTTCTTGAGTCTCGGTGATAAAATCCAAAGGCTCTCGGAAGCCCTGAGTTGCTGGCTGACTAGGAAACCACTAAGCTCATCCCCGCCTGGTACATTGCAACTGTACGCCCTCAGCTTGGCCATAGACAAAAACTTTCAAAAGCCTAGTGTTGCCAACCCCCAGGTGGCTCCTGGGGATTTCCGGTTATTACAGTTGATCTCTAGATGACAAAGATCAGTTCCCCTGGAGAAAATGGCCGCTCTGGAGGGTAGATTCTATGGCATTGCACCCCACTGAGGTCCCTCCCCTCCCTAAACCCCGCCTTCCCCAGGCTCCACCCTCAGTCTCTAGGTATTTCCCAACCAAAAGTTGGCAACCCTAGCTTCTGAAAAACCCTGGAAGCATTGCCTTTCTGGATGTAGGCAGCTACCCAGCCGCAGGGGCCTCTGCCATAGGACCACGCTTGTTTTGGAACTTCCCATCATGGTGAAATTGGCCCTGCCCTCTGTGGCAGCCATTTTGAGATTGGCCCAACCCCTCATGGCAGCCATTTCGAGATTGGCCCTGCCCCACATGGCAGCCATTTTGACTTTGGCCCTTCCCCCTTGGGGCAGCCATTTTGAGACTGGCCGCGCCCGCTCGTGGCAGCCAATTTGACACTGACTCTGCCCCCTTTGTGGCAGCCATTTTGTGATGGCACCCACTACCCTTTCTCAAAATCCCAGAAGTGGCCCTCAGATACAACAAGGTGGGTCACCCCTATGGGCGAAACGAGCCAGTAGTCTGACTCAGTCTAAGGCAGCTCCGTGTGTTTCCTGCTCGGAACGAGGCCCTGTGTGACCCCACTGCCTCTCTCACTGGCCCTGGTTCCTCTCCCGCCAGAAAAACGACCGAGAGAAGGACCTGGTGATGCTCCAGCGAGCCCATCAGCAGCAGCAGATCGTGCTGAGAAAGTACCAGGCCAAGATCGCCAAGATGAAGGTTCTCGAGGACGCCGTGAGGCAGCAGGAGAAGGTGCGAGGGAAGCGGGGGTTGAGAAGCGTGCGGGCACGTAGCACCGTTCGGCAGCAGAGAGGACGATCCGGCATCCATCTAGCCATTGCTCAGTCGTCCTTTCCCTTGTGCCGTGTATCGTTCATCTTCTGTTTCAATTTAATTAGGACGAGTTCCAAAATGGTCCTGAACCTGGATGGCCCAGGCTAGCCCTGACTCGTCAGATCTCCGAAGATAAGCAGGGGTGGCCCCGGTTCATACTCGGATGGGAGACAGGGTTGCCAGACCCCCTGGTGGGGGCAGGGGTCCCCCACCCCAAGGCACCACCACCATCCCACCAATCAGCTGGCCAGCAGAGGGGACCTACCCAGAAAGAGAGCAAGGCCCGGTCAGCATTGCAGTGACGTGTCTACGTCACTTCCACTATGACCCGGAAGTGACGCCATCATGTCGGTGACATCAGGGCAACGCTCTGGTATTTGGGCAAACACTCTATGGTGGAAGCCAAATTGACCACGGAGATTTTGCCCAGATACCAGAGTGTCACCTGGATGTTGCAGCGTGATGACATCACATCACATCGGAAATGACGTAGACATGCCGCTGCAAAATCAGCTGGGCCTCCTTCCCACTTAGGGTTGGCCAGCCCCCAGTTCCCAGTGGGGCTTCCCCTGCTTTGGGGGCCCCCAATCTGCCAGCCGGGCGGCAGGGGAAGCCCCACCCCCAAACAGGGATGTTGCCGGGTGACGTCCCAGATGTGATGACGTTCCCTGGAAGTGACATCATCAAGTTGGGGGTGTTGGGGGTGACACTCTAGTTTTGGGGCAATCTCCATGGTTTTGAAGACAAAAAAACCATAGAGTTTTGCCCCAACACTAGTGTGTCAGCCCCCCCAAATGTCCCTGATGTCATCATGGCGTGCGTGAGAAGTTCCCGGACCTGGCAACCCTAACGGGAGACCACCAAGGAAGTACAGGAACAAAGATTTGTAGAGATTTTTGAGGGGCAAGCCAAGTTTTTTGCATAACTAGAGCCGCAGCTCTCTGAAAAGTTCATCGGATGGAACGAACAAGCCCCGTCTTTCCTAGCTGAACTCACTCCTTCCCCCCCCCCAAAGGTAATTGAGAGAATGGAGAAGATGCTGGAGGAGAAGATGACGGACCGGTTCAAAGATGCCGTCCGGGGCACAGAGAAGTATCCAGGTTAGTGGACCGCAATCGGTGCATTCTGACGAGAGCCAGTGTGGCGTAGTGGTTACAGGGCCAGGCTAGGATCTGGGAGACCCAGGTTCGAATCCCGACTGCCGTGGAAGCTCGCTGGGTGACCCTGGGCCAGTCACCTGCTCTCAGCCTGGCCTACCTCACAGGGTCATGGTGGGGATAAAATGGAGGGACGGAGAACAATGCCAACCGCTTTGCGTCCCCACTGGGAAGAAAGGCGGGGTGTAAATGACTTAAATGTTAAAATGATAAAAGTTAGAGAAAGGGGATCCTTAGCTGGAGCTGGTCTCAGGCGCGTTGGAGCAGTGCCCGGCTGCTTCTCGTCTTCTCCCTCTCTGAGGACTTGATTAGTTAAGCCCTACGTGCTAATTGATGCCAGATAACGTTCATCTCACAAACTTCAGCGTAGATTAGACCAGGATGGGCCATTTTCCACGCTGAAGGCTACGGAGAATTCATCCGATCTGTCTGCCTGCTCCCCACCGAGGAAGTAGCTGAGAACCCTTCCATCATTCAAATCTGTTTGATTTTATATTCAAAGCATTAAGCCCTTAATTTGTACCTGTTACAGTTTGGTGTCGTGGTTAAGAGTGGCAGGCTCTAATTTTTTATTATACTACCTGGAGGTTGGCAACCCGAGTAGCAGCCTTGTCAATCAGGATGTCCTTTCAGAAGGAAGAACCCAATAACGGTTCATTAAAGGCCCCGACCCATCTCTGTTCTGCCTGAGCATTGTTGGTCTTCTTTGCTTCCAGTCCTGGGCGATGGCTGGTCCAAGGATCTCTACTCCACTCTGATGGCAGAGAACACACGGTTGCGGGAGGAACTGAACAAAACCTGCTACCGCTCTTCGCCCATCATACTGCAGCAGCAAGCCTTGCCGGTGAGGAATTCTGGTCCAGCAGCAATATTGCCTATGTGTGCCCTCTGTGGCTTAGTGGCAGAGCATCTGCTTTGTCATGCAGAAGGTCCCAGGTTCAATCCCTAGTATCTCCATGACAAAGATCTGGCAGTAGGTGATGGGAAAGACCTCTGCCTGAGACCCTGGAGAGCCATGGCTCAGTGGCAGAACATCATCTCAATATGTAGAAGGTCCCAGGTTCAATCCCCGGCATCTCTAGTTAAAAAATCTGGCAGTAGGTGATGGGGAAAACCTCTGCCTAAGACCCTGGAGAGCCACAGAGAGGGGCCATAACTCAGTGGCAGAGCATCTGCTGGGCATGCAGAAGGTCCCAGGTTCAATCCTCAGCATCTCTAGTTAAAAGATCTGGCAATAGGTGATGGGAAAGACCTTGATCTGGGACCCTGGCTAAGTGGTAGAGCATCTGCTTGGCATGCAGAAGGTCCCAGGTTCAATCCCCGGCATCTCCAGTTCAAAGGACCAGGCGGTAGGTGATGGAAAAGACCTTGACCTGAGACACTGGCTCAGTGGCAGAGCCTCTGCTTGGCATGCAGAAAGTCCCAGGTTCAATCCCTGGCATCTCCAGTTCAAAGATCTGGCATTAGGTGATAAAGACCTCTTCCTAAGACCCTGGAGAGCTGTGGAGATGGGGCATAGATCAGTGGTAGAGCATCGGCTTTGACAACAGAAGGTCCCAGGTTCTATCACCGGCGCCTCTCGGTCAAATCTGGCATTAGGCGATAAAGACCTCTTCCTATGACCCTGGAGAGCTGTGGAGATGGGGCATAGATCAGTGGTAGAGCATCGGCTTGGCACACAGAAGGTCCCAGGTTCAATCCCCGGTGCCTCTAGTTGAAAGGACCAGGCAGTAGGGGATGGGAAAGACTTCAGCCTGAGATCCCGGAGAGCCACTACCAACCTGAGTAGACAATACTGACTTCGCTGGACCAAGGGTCTGATTCAGGAAAAGGCAGTTTCATGTGAAATAAATATACATTGTCAGGAGGCACTGACAGCCCCTGTGGGCTATAGGAGGGATTTCCTTTGCTTAACATCTAGTCCAGTATCTGGGGTCCTTTGCAGCCTCTGGGGGAAGAAGAGTCCGTTGTTTGTGTTATTTTATTTTAATTCAATTTAAAATATTTGTACCCCCTCCTCCTGACCTGGATGGCCGGGGCTAGCCTGATCTCATCAGATCTCAGAAGCTGAGCCGGGTCGGTCCACAGATTAGTCCTTGGATGGGAGACCACCAAGGAAGACCAGACCAGGGTTGCTACGCAGAGGCAGGCCATGGCAAACCACCTCTGCTTGTCTCTTGGACGATGGCCCAGGCTAGCCTGATCTCGTCACATCTCAGACGCTAAGCAGGGTCGGTCCTGGTTGGTACTTGGATGGGAGGTCTCCCAGGAATACTAGGGTCACAATGCAGAGGCAGGCCATGGCAAACCCACCTCTGTTTACTTCTTGTCTTGACCTGGAGGGTCCAGGATATTGGAAGTTAAGCAGAGTCTGCCCTGGTTCACACGGGAATGGGAGACCACCAAGGAAGTCCAGGGAATGTGAGGTTTTGACGAACAGCTCCAAAAATGGTTACTGTTTTGAGCCGGCTAATTGAGTGTTGTGTTTGTCTTAAATGACTGTTATATATGTCACCTTTACCGGCAAGCAGTTTATGGCACCGGCCAAACTTGCTGGAAAACGTGGGGGGGGGGAGGCGTGGCTATTTGCGCCGTCGCATTGTGATCCACCATTATGCGATCAGATGCGACGGCGGCATACCGGGGTTTCGTCCTTCGGCGCGCGCTGCATAGAGGACGGCCGGAGGGAATAGACGCGCACCGGCACGATCACACCGGACGAGTCCATCTGCAGCCCGTGGCAAACCATTTGCTAGTAGGTCTTTGCAGGTACTTTTTAACTGCCCAACTTCGGCGGCATGCCACGGGTTGGCCACGGGTGCACTACGCTTGCCAGATGTTGCGGTGTGATCGCGCCCCAAAAATCCACCCAGCATTCGTGCCTTTCGCACGGCAAATTCTCCGTGTGACCGGGGCCTATAATAGTTTTACTAATGTTTTAGGTACTTAAAATCTTATAGGGGATACCCATCATTTTTAAATACATGGATTAATGATTGCTGTATGTTTGTTTTATCTGAATTTATTATATCTGTATTCCTGTATGTTATGAATTAAACCTTTTTTTTTTAAGTCCACCTTCCAAAGTTGCTATTTCCTCCAGGAGAACGGACCTCTGTAACCTGGAGACCCAGTTGTGATACTAAGAGATCTCCAGCCGCCACCTGGAGACTGGCAACTCTAGTTTCGAGAGGCTTGGAAAATTGGGATCCAAGCAGTCTTTGCGATCTCAGAGGCTGTATGGGATTTGCTTCTATTCTCCCTAGGGTTGCCAACAGAAGAAGAAGAGATTGGATTTATACCCCGCCCTTCACTACCCAAAGGTGTCTCAGAGCGGCTCACAAACGGCTCTTTTTTCAAGGACAGCTCTTATCAGAACTACGGCCAGCCTAGTGCACGTGGAGGAGTGGGGAATCAAACCCAGTTCTCCCAGATTAGAGTCTGCACACTTAACCACTATACCAAACTGGCTCTACGCACTTAACCACCACACCAAACTGAAAGACAAGGCCTGGAGATCTCCCAGAATTACAATTGATCTGCAGGTGACAGTTCCCCTAAAGAACATGGTGGCTTCACAGGGCAGAGCCTATGGCTGAGGCCCTTCCCCTCCTCAAACTCCACCCTCCACAGGCTCCACCCCCAAATCTCCAGGAATTTCCCGAGGTGGAGTTTGGCAACCCTAGATCTCTCTCTCTCCCAGTTTGGTGCAGTGGTTAAGTGTATGGATTCTAATCTGAGAGAACTGGGGGTTTCCCCCCCACTCCTCCACATGCAGCTGCTGGGTGATCTTGGGCAAGCCACAGTTCTCTCAGAGCTGTTCTCTCAAGGAGCTCTCTGAGAGCTTTCTCAGCCCCACCTACCTCACAAGGTGTGGGGAGAGGAGGGGAAGGAGATTGTAAGCCACTCTGAGACTCCGAATGAAGGGTGGGATGTAAATCTAATCTCTTCCTCCTCCTCTTCTACTCCTCCCTCCCCTCTCCCTCCCTCTCCCCCAACTCATGTTGGTTCTCCCTCCTTGAGTCACCGGACGTTCTCTCTGCTTCCCACAGGATGTGTTTTCCTCCAACTCTGAAAAGCTCACACTGCTGAGTAAACTGGAGAAAGCCGAGACGCGCATCCATGTCTTGGAATGCCAGGTAATGGCCCCTCCATCTCCAGCGTCATCTCTGACGTGCAGGTCTCATTAACGCCTTATAATCCAGAGCCTTCTTTTGGGGGGAGTGAATGAGATGGGCAACCAACCTGACATTAATCCGAACTCTGCATAATACAAGGCGGGTCCCTACTTGGAAGACACCAAGGAAGACTCTGTAGAGGAAGGCAATGGCAAACCGCCTCTGCTTCTCCCTTGCCTTAAAAGTCCCTCGCTGGGATCACTATAAGTTGGAAGCTAAGCAGAGTCAGTACTTGGAAGGGAGACCACCAAGGAAGGCTCTGCAGAGGAAGGCAATGGCCAACCACCTCTGCTTCTCCCTTGCCTTGGAAGCCCCTTGCTGGGGCTGCCATAAGTTGGAAGCTAAGCAGGGCTGGTTTTTGGAAGGGAGACCACCAAGGAAGGCTCTACAGAGGATGGCAAAGGCAAACCACATCTGCTTCGTTCGTCCTTACCTTAAAGGTCTGGGATCACCATAAGTTGGAAGCTAAATATGGCCCAATCTCATTAGATCTTGGAAGTGAAGCAGGTCGGTACTCGAATGGGAGGTCACCAAGGAATAGTCTGCAGAGAAAAACTGTGACAAACCACCAGTGCTTCTCACTTTCCTTGAAAACCCTACAGGGTCTCTGTAAGTCAGCTGCTACTTGGTGGCACTCCACATACACCAACTGCATTGGGAACCATCATGGTCAAAAGGCGGTCTGTAAAAAATGGTTGATTAACAAATGGGACACTCCTGCAGTCTACGTTTCAGCAAAAATCATAGCTCTGCCTTGTCTCACCATCAGGTTGTGAATATAAAATGGTGTGCGCGCATGCGTGGACCCATACTTATGTTTCAAGGGTGAGAGCTATCGCCTTGCCAAGCTGACCAATGCTCCCTCTAAGCTGTGGGGTCTTGTGAGCAAAAAATTCTACATTGTGAGCTACTGGCATTAAAAGTTGTGAGCGGGCAATTTGGCTAACTGCATAAATCAGTTTGCTCTAGAGCCATCCTTCCTGAACTAAGACAAAAACGCATGAGCCGGAGGCTAAAAAACTGTGAGCTGGCTCACACGAACTCAGCTTGGAGGGAACCCTGATTGTTCTTGCCCACTTTTTCATAGCTGGAGGAATCTGCCAGGAAGTGGGGGCGAGAGAAGCAGGATTACGCCTCGCGCCTTCTAGAGAATGAACGTGGATTCGGCCCATCGCCTTCCTCTATCTTACTACCGGAATTCCCACTCGTAAGTTGTTGGTATAGTGCATAGAGACAGAGCCTACCTGGGCAGAACCGCTGGGAAGACATTGTGCATACTTTTGTGCGTTACCAGGGGTCATTTCCTGCCGGGGTGCCCTGGAGCGGCGCTCCGGCAAGAAGAAGAAGAGATTGGATTTATACCCCGCCCTTCACCTCCCAAGGAAGTGTCAGAGCGGCTTACAAACTCCTTTCCCTTCCCCTCCCCACAACAGACACCCTGTGAGGTAGGTGGGGCTGAGAGAGCTCTTGAGAGAAACTGCTCTTTTTTCAAGGACAGCTCTTATCAGAACTATGGCATGCCCAAGGTCATCCAGCCAGGTGTGAATGGAGGAGTGGGGAATCAAACCCGGTTCTCCCAGATTAGAGTCCGCGCACTTAACCACTACACCAAACTGGCTCAGCCCAGGCCCCGCCCCCCGCCTACGGAGACACTCAGGGAGGGGGGATTTAAATCTGCAGCTGTGGGGCACCTGGAGAAGATCGGGCAAGGAGGCAGACATGCCTGCCGTCCCCCCTGAGCCTCTCCGCTTTTGCGAAGAGACTGGGGGGGGGGGTTAAACTCATTTTCATAAATCTTTTTTAAAACATGCCTGCCCTTTGTCAGGGGGTGTGGCATATGGAAATAAGTTGTGCAAATGAGCCCCTGCACCTCTTTTTCTATGAGATGACCCCCTGTGCGTTACCATGCACAAGACGGGGCAAACGCCCATCCTGCAAGGTCAAACTAGACAAGACAGAAACCCGTGGATCACCCCGCCTCTGTCGACAGCGCAAAGGGACTGTTAAATACTTCCAACCCTGCAAAGCTTCTCCTATGGAAATTGCTCCCCTTTCTTGTGACCTTTTCCCCCTTGTTCCAAGGCTGATAGACTGTAGCTATGGTGGGGCCTCCCGGCCCCCTAACTTCCTCCCAAGGCCCCACAACCTTTGGGGAGAAGCAAGGGGAGGCAGTAGCCGCGGGTTTTTGGCATGGAGTGCAGAGGCACGAGGTCCCTGCTTCTCCCCCAAAGCATTTAAAGGGGCCCTCTAAATGCTTTGGGGGAGAAGCGGGGGCCACACGTGAATTCCAGTGCCCACCCCGACTTTTTTAAAGCCCCCCCCAAATTAAAAAAATCCTGACTATGAGCCTGTAGAAAGGTCATTCGGTAGGCAAAACTGCGCAAGGGTAGAAGGATTAAACAAATACACAACACTGACACAGAGAGCACTCCATCCTTCTGTGTTATACCTCTGAGGATGCCAGTCACAGCTGCTGGCGGAACGTCAGGTCCTTCAATGCCAAGGCCACAGCCATAAAAGCCTGGAAAATCAACAACAACTAATGAACTCCAGCCACGAAAGCCTTCGACAACATATTAAATACACGACCCATTCAAGACCCCTGAATATCACCAGTTTGGGCTGCAAGCCAGTTCAGATAACAAGTGTGTGTACAAATATACAACTGGAGTGGAAGCAAACAGAGACTTCTGCAGCAGGTCAGCAAACCCGGGAGGGTGACGCTGGCCCCCAGTTCCTTCTTCGCCCTTCCTAGTTCCTTATTCATGAAGGCAATGGCAAATATTGAGGATAATTTAAAAGTACTGCACCCCAAAATAAGGATTAGACCACCACATATCATACACCCCCCACATTCCAGGGAATCTACCCTCCATAACGAAATAATAGTATTGAGCAGACAGGGTACTGGATTTAAATTTTAGTTTAGGCATGGACTGTCAATGGCCTTAAAGCCCTACATGTCTGATTACAAACTTCTGGCCACCTGTAAAATGGATATTGTGATGCCCTAATGTTTGAAAAAGGAGCTGCGGTGGCTCAAGTGGTTAAGACGCTGAACTGCAGGCTGCGGAAGGTCGGTCGTTCAGCAGTTCGAGACCCGAGTGTGCCGCATGACGGAGTGAGCTCCCGTCTCTAGTTCCAGCTCCTGCCAACCTAGCAGTTTGAAAGCAAGAAATTGCAAGTAGATAAATAGGGACCACTCCGGTGGGAAGGTCACAGCGTTCCGTGCGCCTTGGTGTTTAGTCATGCCGGCCACAGGACCACGGAAACGTCTTCGGACAGCGCTGGCTCTTCGGCTTGGAAACGGAGATGAGCACCGCAACCCTCAAGTCGGACTCGACTGGCTTTCGAGCAAGGGAACCTTTACCTTTACCTTTAATGTGTGAAAGCCCTGACCTGAATGACCCAGGCTAGCCTAATACTGGAACCTAAGCAGGGCAGACCCTGGTTAGTCCTTGGATGAGAGACCACCATGGAAATCCAAGGTTGCAACGCAGAGGCAGGCAATGGCAAACCACCTCTGCTCGTCTCTTGCCCTGACCTGGATGGCCCAGGCTAGCCCGATCTCATCAGATCTCAGAAGCTATGCAGGGTCGGCCCTGTTTTGTACTTGAATGGGAGACCACCAAGGAAGTCCAGGGTCGCTGTGCAGAGGCGGGCCATGGCAAACCACCTCTGTTCACCCCTTGCCCTGACGTGGAGGGCCCAGGATCTTGGAAGCGAAGCAGGGTCGGCCCTGGTTAGTACTTGGATGGGAGACCGCAAAGGAAGTTTAGGGCTGCTACGCAGAGGCAGGCTAAGGGCAAACCTCCTCTGAACATCTCTTGCCTCGAAAACCGCCGTGGGGTCGCCATAAGTCAGCTACAGCTTGACGGCACTTTGCCCTCACCTGGATGGCCCAGCCTAGCCCGATCTCATCAGATCTCGGAAGCTAAGCAGGTTTGTACTTGAGTGGGAGACCACCAAGGAAGTCCAGGGTCGCTGTGCAGAGGCAGGCAAGGGCAAACCGCCTCTGAACGTCTCTTGTCTTGAAAACCCTACAGGGTCAGCATAAGTTAGCTGTGACTCGGCAGCGCTTTTCGCCACCAGTGTATGGAAGAACGAGCTAAGAATTGTGAGGGGCGTGGCGTGCCAAAAGGGCTGGAGAAAGGGAGTGGGGTGTAAGTGCAGTGGCAGGGCTTTGGCAGGGGAGCTTCCTACCCACTCTGAGTTCCAGCCACCCAGTACTGCGTACACATTAACAAAGAAAGAGAGGTGGGATAGCTTGGAGACTGTATCGACCAGTGCTCCCTCTAAGCTGTGGAATCTTGTGAGGAAACATCCTACTTTGTGAGCGACTGGCATTAAAGCTGTGAGCGAGCAATTTGGCTGCTGCATCAATCAGTTTGCTCTGGGGCCCTCCTTCCTGAGCGGAGGCAAAAATGCGTGAGCCGGAGGCTAAAAAAACTGAGCTAGCTCACACTGACTCAGCTTAGAGGGAATACTATTGACCTACCCGCTCCACAGCATCTACAACCCAAATCCTCTTTCAGTGTTTATCGAACGTCCTGTCTCGTTGATTGTATCGATTCGTTTGGTGTAATCGGGCTCACGTCCCAGCGAGAAAGGTGGACTATAAATACTGGAAATAGATAAATAAAAACCTGAGACATGATTTCAGGTTCAGAATCTCGAGTGTTAAAACTTCCCTACAGATGGGGCATCCATTGCGAGTGTTTTCCGTCCTAGGCTGGTTCTGCATCGACTTTTCCCTCCGTCGTTTTACGAAACCCACGTCGGAACAGAAATTCCCCTCTCTATTGCATGCCGCTTTCACCTCCTTTGATTATCGGGTTTTATGGTAGCTTCCACACTCCATGCCGCTTTTGCTTCCTTTGATCTTCGGGTTTTATGGTGCCTTCTGCATAGATTTATGGCCGTTCTATGGCCATTCAGGGGTGACTTTGCAGTCAGTACGGCCTTGCCCCAACCTATTTGAATGTGTTTGGGCCATTCTGCATCTCGCATTCACTCCGTTGTCTTACCAAACCCAGGCCACATTCAAATACCCCAGGCCAACGCCCCGTACTGACTGCACAGTCACCCCTGAACAGCCATAAAACGGCCATAAATGGATGCAGACTGTTCCATAAAACCAAGAGATCAAACGAAGCAAAAGTGGGCAAGCAAGTCAGGACACTGCCATCAAATCCGACAACCAATCACAGCGAAAGTGGCATGCAGTGTAGAGGGGAATTTCTGTTCCAATGTGGGTTTAGTCAAATGCTAGTGTCACGGTAGAGCCAGGGAGGCGGGCAGACAGGGGGAGTCACAATACAAGGCCAAAGGTCAGCCGGGAGAGCAGTCAGCAGAGCATTAAACAAGTCCCAAAACACCAGACAAAGCCGTAGTCAAACGTTACTAGAGGTCAGAGTACAGGGAGCAAAGCCAAGGGCGTGGTCAGGTTCAAAGCTGGAAGTCAGGAGCCAGAGCAGTCCAAACACAAGCCGAGTCCAAAAAGCCAGAGTCAAACAGGAATCAAGGTGCAGAGCTTCTGGTTCTACAAACGAAGTTGCCAGCACAAATTGCTCATGGCCAGAGACCCTACTAAATAGTGCTCTGGCCCATTAACTCATTAGCACCTTTGTGCGAGGTCCTGGCTGCTGTTAAAACTCAGGGCTCAAGGATCTCCGCCCTCTTGAACGTGCTTCTTTTCGTCGGCTAGCCAGCTCCTGACGTCTCTGATCCCTAAGCCTACTTACAGGTGGGGGAGATGCAGGTGGTGAGCTGCTTATGGCGTGCTCAATCCCAGGTGCAAACCATCCTGTAGTTGACTCAGATTGCTGTGTATCCTCCTCAGTACTTACAGTAGGTGCAGATCCTGATGCTTCTTCAGCTCTTAAAGGCACGGAATCCTCCCCTCTTAGGCTGTCAGGAGCTGGCTCTGGGGCTGAGTCAAGGGCAGGCATGACAGCTAGCTGTGGAATGGGCCATTTTGAGCGGCACTTTTTCTTCCCCATCAAGAAAACGCGGAGCGAATGCTAGATGCAGAATCGACCCCAGTCGCCATGCTGTGACGATAAAATTATAAGGCGGGCAGGACCTCCGCTGGGGTCGTGGAACCCCTCGGAACCCCGTGTCCTTGACCACGGAACAAGCCGAGGCCGGCCCGTCGTTTCTCGCTCATTAACGTCCTCCCCCCTCCCCCACCCACAGGAGGAGAGAGAAGGGAAAGGGGACGAAGAGAAGAAGCCCAGACAGGTATATGAAGGGGAGGCGGCGAAGAGCGTTCCCAAGACCGAGGGCCGGGTGCGTCGACACAAAGGAACTCTGATGGGTTACTGGTCTTAAGCAATGAGTTTAAACGTATGCATCCTCTCCGTAAATCTCAGCTCTCAAGATTCCCAGTAGGGAAAACGGTCCCCTTGCAGATGTTGAATGAAAAAAGGAAAAAGAACTGTGACAATTTAGCGCTTGGTAATATATTCATAAATCATAATATACAATAACAGAAAATAAGTAATATATATAGTGAATGTAGACGGTGGTCTCCGGAATGGTGTGCCGTTTCGACAATGACCTTCTTCTGAACAAGGGTATGTACAAAAACTGTCTTTCAACAATTCATTTCTCTTGGTGACGTATTGGAAGTATACTGTTGATTCACTTCATCATGAGGCTATGCTTACAGCTATGTTCTTCAATGGGCTATAATTGCTGAATGCCCGGAAGGGGATGAGGGTTAGATCCTGCCAGATCCAGGCATTCAGCAATTATAGCCCATTGAAGAACATAGCTGTAAGCATAGCCTCATGATGAAGTGAATCAACAGTATACTTCCAATACGTCACCAAGAGAAATGAATTGTTGAAAGACAGTTTTTGTACACACCCTTGTTCAGAAGAAGATCATTGTCGAAACGGCACACCATTCCGGAGACCACTGTCTACATTCACTATATATATTACTTATTTTCTGTAATTGCATATTATGATTTATGAATATATTAAAGGTAAAGGTAAAGGTTCCCTTGCTCGAAAGCCAGTCGAGTCCGACTCTAGGGTTGCGGTGCTCATCTCCGTTTCAAAGCCGAAGAGCCAGCGCTGTCCAAAGACGTTTCCGTGGTCATGTGGCCGGCATGACTAAACACCAAGGCGCACGGAACGCTGTTACCTTCCCACCGAAGTGGTACCTATTTATCAACTTGCAATTTCTTGCTTTCGAACTGCTAGGTTGGCAGGAGCTGGAACTAGAGATGGGAGCTCACTCCGTCATGCGGCACCCGGGTCTCGAACTGCTGAACTACTGACCATCCACAGCCTGCAGTTCAGTATCTTAACCACTTGAGCCACCGCAGCTCCTATGAATATATTACCAAGCGCTAAATTGTCACAGTTCTTTTTCCTTTTTTCATTGGTCTTATTACTGTGCCCATTCTTGTAACTATCCATTGCAGATGTTCCCCAGGTCTCTAAAATCACAGGTGGACGTCGAATCCATCGCAGGCCCATTCTGCATCTCGCATTCGCCCTGCTGTTTTACCAAACCCACGCTGGAACGGAAATCCGCCTTTAAAATTGCACGCCAGTTTCACTTTGACCGATTGCCGGATTTCATGGCAGCGTCCAGACGGCAGGCCGGTTTCACTATGTTGGATCTCTCGGCTGGATGGCCGCGTCTGCATAGATTTATGGCCACTTTACGGGCCGTTCAGGGGTGACTCTGCAGTCAGTATGGGGCATTGGCCCAGGGTATCTGAATGTGGTCTTGAGCCGCATCTTTTTCTGTTCCAGCGTGGGTCTGGTAAAACAGCGGAGCAAATGCTAGATGCGGATTGGGCCTTAGTGGCACGTTGGTCAACTGAACAGTGACAGCGGGTCCATCCCTTTCCCACCCAGCTCAGACACTGTTGCCCTGATCCAGCAAGGGGGCTACGTGCATACACCGATCTGTGCATGCCTGGCTACATGGGGTGCCGGCATATGCCAGCGGTTGATTCCCTAGTCTAATCCAGCAGCCCTTTTTCCAAAGGTGGGACCACACCCATTAGCTGCTAACAAGAAGGACCCATCTAGCTAGACTCAGTCTTTCCGCCTATCCTGACTAATGAGATTACAGTCGATGTGCACAGCCCGAACTGCTACCTGGTTACTCTTAGTGGGAGTGAGCGAGACAGGACACAGCCATATTTTCCTCTCTTTGATCCCCTTGGGGACCCAGGCGAGCCCAAACTCATCAGATCTCTGAAGCTAAGCAGGGTTGGCTGTGGTTAGTATTTGGGTGGGAGACTACCAAGGAAGTCCGGGGTTGCTATGCAGAGGCAGGCCATGGCAAACCACCTCTGTTTGTCTGCCCTGACCTGGATCGCGCAGGCTAGCACAATCTTATCAGATTTCAGAAGCTAAGCAGGGTGGGCCTTGGTTAGTACTTGGATGGGAGACCACCAAGGAAGACCAGGGTTGCTATGCAGAGGCAGGCCATGGCAAACCACCCCCATTCATCTCTTGCTTTGCCTGGATAACCCAGGCTAGCCTGGTCTCATTAGATCTCGGAAACTAAGCAGGGCTGGTCCTGGCCAGTATTTGGGTGGGAGACCACCAAGGAAGTCCATGGTTGCTACTCAGAGGCAGGCCATGGCAAACCACCTCTGTTCATCTCTTGCCTTGAAATCCCTAGAGCAGGGGTGTCAAACATGTGACCCAGAGGCCGGATCAGACCCCCCCCCCTCGGAGGGCTTCCATCAGGCCCGCAGTGGAACTGGCCATCTCCTGCTTCCAGTTCTGCTGCTGCTGCTGCGTCATCGCTTGCTTTGCCAGACTCTTAATCACTCGGCCATTTCCTGTTTTAACCTGGGTCCAGGACTCAGAACTCTGAGCACGAGATTCCTGTGGTGAATGTCAATAAATCAAAAGTAGGTCTGCCGCTTACAGAGCTAACGTTTTATGCATGTTTTTATTTTAAGTTAAAAAAAAAACATATCTTTGTGTTCGTGTCCTTTATAAAAGTTTATATCTCCGACACCTGGCATTACGTTTTATGACACGCGTGGCCCGGCCTGACAAGGTCTCATTTACATCAGATCCGGCCCTCATAACAAATGAGTTCGACACCCCTGCCCTAGTGGGTCACTGTAAGTCAGCTAGCACTTTCCACCTCTGCCCCTTGGGGATGTAATTATGTTGGCATACCCTAAGTGTGCAACTCCACTTATTTCAGCCATGAAACTTGGCATTGGACTGCACCGATACTTCCCCGACACACATGGCAACTGGGGTGCATGGGTGTAAATTATCCCTGTGAATGATGTACGGAGCGGTAGGGCAACTGGGTGAACGGGTCATGGAGATTTTGGAAACCTTTCTGATATATATGTGTTTTATTTCTCTCTTCCCCAAGGCCGGTCTGGATTCCCCATCACGCTTCCGGATGAAGACCCTTTACCCCTCACAGTAGCTCTGCAACACCCTCCGGCATCGCATATACTATGGGGGACGTGCCATCTATGGCAAAATAGGCCCTGGGTTATAAATAACTATATATGTATCCCCCGAAACACTGAACAGTCTACAGGCTTGCCTGGAGAATTTTATTAAAAACCACAGCACCTGGTCCCTCAACCCTGTGACTTGCAAAGATGGCTGGATCTTGGCTGGTGGCAGTTTGGCTGGTGGCAGTTTGGCTGGAAAGGAGCAAGAATCGGTTCTTGGGCTGGGAGAGGGGGGCATGGCTCAGTGGTAGAGCACCTGCCTGGCATGCAGAAGTTCCCAGGTTCTATCCCCAGAATCTCCAGTTCAAAGGACCAGGTGATGGGGAAAGCATTTACCTGAGATCCTGGAGAGCGGCTGCCATGAGCAGGCAATCCTGACCCTGACGGACCAAGGGTCTGATTCAATATAAGGCAGTTCCATGTGTGTTTAGGGAGGGGCTGTGGCTCAGTGGTAGCGCACCTGCTTGGCATGCAGAAGGTCCCAGGTTCAATCCCTGGCGTCTCCAGTTAAAAAGGACGAGACAAGAGGTGATGGGAAAGACCTCTGCCTGAGACCCTAGAAAGCCATAGAAAGTAGCCATAGCTCAGTGGAAGAACCTCTGCTTGGCATGCAGAAGGTCCCAGGTTCAGTCCCCAACATCACCAGTTAAAAGGACCAGGCAGGAGGAGATGACCCTGGAGAATGGCTGCCAGTCAGAGTAGACAATATTGACCTGGATAGACCAAGAATTTGACTTGGTATGAGGCTGCTTCCTACAGGGAAAGTCTGTGGCTCAGTGGTAGAGCATCTGCTTGGCATGCAGAAGGTCCCAGGTTCAATCCCTGGCATCTCCAGTTAAAAAGGACCAGGCAGTAGGGGATGGGAAAGACCTCTGCCTGAGACTCTGGAGACCCACTGTTCTAGGCAATACTGACCCAGATGGATCAAGGGTCTGATTTAGTATAAGGCAGCTTCATCCATGTTCATGCAATAGGGTCAGAATGTGGTGAGGAGAAGCAGTGGAAAAGCATGGCTGAACTGAAAGCAGTAAGACGAGGTGTTTTCAGTTCAGAGCCAGTTTGGTGTAGTGGTTAAGTGCGCGGACTCTAATCTGGGAGAACCGGGTTTGATTCCCCACTCCTCCACTTGCACCTGGCTGGATGACCTTGGGCAAGCCATAGCTCTGATAAGAGCTGTCCTTGAAAAAAGAGCAGTTTCCTTCAAGAGCCCTCTCATCCCCACCGACCTCACAGGGTGTCTGTTGTGGGGAGGGGAGGGGAAGGGAAAGGAGTTTGTAAGCCGCTCTGAGACTCCTTCGGGTAGTGAAGGGCGGGGTATAAATCCAATCTCTTCTCATTCTTTTTCTCTTCTTCTTCAGTCTTCTATGGCCGCTGCCTTTCCGGGAGGTCAGATAGTTTTTTTCCGAAGCACTTTGGGTTAGAATCAAGTAGCTCCTACCATCTCTTTACTGGGAGGCTCTATCCTGGGCTAGCTCTGGTGACGTGGGCCTCCCGTAAGAGCCACATTGGTGGGAATCTGCTTCCAGCTGGGACACAGGAATTTTCCCACCCACGACCAGGTGATCACACCCTCCTCTGCCTTCTCGGCAGAATGGCCCTTGGTCGAGAACACCTAATCTCTATAAAGGACCACAGAATGCCACGTTCATTCTGTCAGATTGATATTTGGTTAGCAGAGTGCTCAAGAAGGCACACAAACATAGCAAAGCTCATCTGGTTTGGGTGTGCTGACCAGAAATGAAGTTGCACATCGAGCCTCTTCATCTTTGCAAAAAGCTAATATGAGTCCTTTATTGTAAGGAACTCCATTCTAGACAGGATAGAGTAGAGGCAGGATTCTAGTCTAGTCTAACTCGCTAGGATGGATAGAGATTTCAGGAGGCCAAGATGGGGAAGAGAAGGTGTCAGGGCAGAAAGGAGGAAGATTCCCTGAGAGAAGCAATCTACACATTAAAGGAATAACATCAGAGCCCTGGAAGGGAAGGATGATCAGGGTCCTCCTGGTCTATCTCTCTGACTCTCTATGGTCCAGCCTGTGAAGCCTGAGGCTAAGAGACAGGGCAAAGCCCTTCACTTCTGACACATTTTTTCAGCGAGGCTAGCTTGGTTAATTCTCCTCTTGGGATTAAGGCCAGATTTATCTTTTAGGAGACTAGGGGCAGTTAATGAGAGGCATGTCCTGCAGGGGTACAATTTTTGTTTGTTTGTTTGGTTTACAGAAATTTAATCAACTGGCACCCCTCACTGGGTATCTAATACAGCCCAAAGCAAGCTGAAGGCAACAGGCATTTGGGCATCACATTCAGCATGGCTGAACTGAAAGCAATAAGACGAGGTGTTTTCAGTTCAGAGAGCCAGTTTGGTGTAGTGGTTAAGTGCGGGGACTCTAATCTGGGAGAACCGGGTTTGATTCCCCACTCCTCCACTTCCACCTGGCTGGATCACCTTGGGCAAGCCGTAGTTCTGATAAGAGCTGTTCTTGAAAAAAGGGCAGTTTCTGTCAGAGCTCTCTCAGCTCCAACTACCTCACAAGGTGCCTGCTGTAGGGAGAGGAAAGGCAGGCGATTGTAAGGCACTTTGAGCCTCCTCAGGGTAGAGAAAAGTGGGGTATTAAAACCCACTCTTCTTCTTCTTCTTTTGGAAGAAGCTCAAAGAAACTCAAAGAACTGTTATGCATCTAAGGTTAGAATTGTTATGCAGCTAATAAGGTCAGCTTGACACACAGTCACAGCGATGCCACAGGGAAGGCCTAAAACTCTGCGTAATTCTACTGCTACGATTTCCGCCACATCCCCGTGAAAAGATAACCAACACACAGAATGCGCATCCGGGATTTGCAGGCCGCTGGGTCCAAACTTCTAAGCTCCGCAAAGGTGGAAAGGAAGACTGAATCACATCGAGGAGGTGACGAACTCAACGTTCAGCCTTTTCCCGAGTACACTGCCATCTCGTTGGTGTTTAGTCATGCCGGCCACATGACCACGGAAACATCTTCGGGCAGCGCTGGCTCTTCGGCTTGGAAACGGAGATGAGCACTGCACCCCTAGAGTCGAATTCGACTGGCTTTCGAGCAAGGGAACCTTTACCTTTAGAAAGCCTAGCCTAGCCCAGACTTGTCTGTTCGAAGTGAGGCAGGGTCGACCCTGGTCAGTATTTGGATGGGAGACCACCAGGGGAGCCCAGGGCTGCTACCCAGAGGCAGGAAATGGCAAACCAACTCTGTTCAACTGTTGCCTTGCAAACCCTGACTTGGTCATCCTAAATCAGCTGCAACTCGATGGTATGCAGAGGTCATTTCGGGGGGGATCGCGGGGGATCGCAGTTCCCCCGGGTGAGGTACGGGGGGCGGGGCACATGACGAAGCCCCACCCCCTGCTTCCGGCCGCCCCGCTTCCGGCCCTCATTCAGCCAGGAGGAGGCAGGAGAAGAGGGAGGGTAAGTTGCTTCCTCCCTGCCTCTCCCCACCCCTGCCTGCCTGGGGCCAGGGAGGGCCTTCGTGGGGCTTCCTTGCACTCCCGCCGGCCTTGCAGGTCCACCGCCGCACCCCTCATGGGGCTC